CATGTTAGGAGATGGACTTTTCCATGCATGAACTTCATTCTGTAATGAATAAAATGAGCAAGGGCTCCTGGTCTTAGGGCTTACAAGTTTGCTCCGAGTAACATGTTACTGAGACCCAGCAGTCCGTGGTAATTATTCTTGTGTACGCTCAGGTTGCAGCACATGGTAAGTCATTCAAGTTGACTCAGTTTGCAATGACAAAGAGGTAAACTGACTTGAAATACTCAGTATTTACTACCAACTAAGACTGGATGCATGGAGAGTGACAGTGGACCTCTGACACATGGTAACTTATCTTAGAAAAATCCATTTGCCAATGGGAGTTTTAACCACGTAAGAATTCTGTCCTTTAAAAATAATAATACTGTGAAGATTTAAAACACAAACAAAAAAAAGAGCTGATTTTGTCTGTCCAGACCATGCAAACCAAAATCAAAATTAATTCTCCCATTGACTTAAACAGGATAAAGACCCTGATTTGAATAAGGCAAACAAGATTTAGCTCATAGTCTAAAGCAAGGGAATAAAACCAAAGAGGGAATGAACTATGAAAAATAATTAAAAATAAAGAAAACTCTTGATACACTTTTCTGTTAAAATCTCATAAGTTATACAGAAAATGCACAGCTAATATAGGAAATTATTAAAAGTATATGTAGGTTTTTCAAGTTTCTCTTACAAAAGCAGAGCTATTTAAAAAAAAAAAAAAAAAAATCAACTGATAGGCCCTGTTCTACACAGCGTACACATTCCCAATTCTCCTAGATAACTCCTGAAAGATGAGAATACTTTTTGTTTGTTAAATATGAAGAAAGCACACAAGTGTAACTGTGGGCAGATTGAGCGTTTGGTTTTGTATCCAGGTCCTGCAGAACAGGCACTGCTGTTGCAATTGAAGGGCAGAGTCCTCACTTGGAAACACAATTAGCATGGTAAGCCAGTTTCAAGACTGCCTCTGTAAATTTTGATGCTTTTCAAGTCACATCAACTGTAACATTTTTGCTGTCTTTTTAAAGTACAAGGGTTGCATATACACTCATTACACCAACATGGCTGTTTAGTTCTTAATACACTTAAACAAAATCAATTCACATAGTGTAACACTAAATTCCACATTTATGTTCATCTTCCAGAACATATTTAGTAAAGTTCAAAATTAAAAAATGATAATTTTTTCTCCAGGACCCAGTTTCTACAGACATAATCAAGAAAAAAAAAATACTGGAAAACCTGAAACCATTCTGTCTACCGTGTTCTGCCAGCTCTTTCTAGGCAAATGGAATGAACAAATGCTACATATGAAAAACTGATTTCCTTAGACAGCCACAGGTATAAACTTTTAAGAAAATTAATATCTGTAATATCATATCTAAAATTACATGCGTTGGCTTCAAGGACATGAAACATTTAAACTTTGAGCCAAATTTTGCACTGTTACAATCATGAAGGATTGATTCTGCTATTGACTTCAATAGAGAAAGTATCAATTTCTATACAATTTTTCTGGAGATTCCTTTGCTTACATTGGTGGAGTTTTCAATCATAAGACAAATTTTCTCTTGCAAAATCTTGTAATATATTAGTAATAGGCCATTTTGAGGAGAACATATTTTTTGTTCTGTAGTAATCATGACTATGTGACAAAGTAAAGGGATGCACATGAATGTAGACTGGGTTCTGGAGAAACGTATTATACTTGGTTAACATAAAAATAAAGAAAAAGAATAATTAATGTCTAACTAAGCTTGCCTATATGCTGAGGTAACCTTAAATATCTTTGGTTTTCTTTATTTGCTGATAAAAAGTACCTTAATAAAACATTAAGTGATGAATAGAGTTCTGGATAGACCACTCTCTCATACACTGAATATTTTCATCTCTTTGGCTATTGAAGTTAGAGCATCTATATTAGATTGACAAGTTTTATATGAAGTCTCTTTTTTTCAAATTATCCATGGGTTAAACTACCTAGTGGATCTCTGGAAGAAAAAGTTTGGGATTTAAAGTATCTACCTGTAACGAAGGTCATAAAATTACATCCGATTATCAGTACTTAACAGCAAACAAGTCTTTGGAGAAGCAAACAGTTACCATCTGCATATCAGCTCTTTTGGAATGAAACTAACAAAAGAGGCTACTCTGAAAGATGAAGTGTGAAACTTCATGCTACAGTTACACATTCTTAGTCTAGTTTTGATTAATTCAAACTTTACCTAACTAGAAACAGTATTCTGCTGTACACTAAACATTCTGCCTGACGAGACCAAAAATAAGTCTTTGGTGAAAAGGTTTTCTTTTTCTTCAGCAAGTAGATAAAAAACTGTTCAAAAATATTTTTTTTTAATACTGTATTGTTGATCAACTACGTGCTGGAGAAAAAAATTACACTTGGAAGTCTTTGGAGATATTTGCTGGTATTATTATAACTTTCTTTAAAGGCTCTTGTAATAACAAGGTAGTTAAAATTGTAGAAGTATACAACTCATCTATGCAATCAACTACTACAATCAAGAAGCCCTATTGTTTTTTGTTAGTAACTACTTATACAATAAAACGTATTCAGCTCTTCAAACCTATAGCTTTTAACTAGTTCAATTATTTTTGGACAATATGTGGCTTCCTTCTCTTCTACAGAAAAGTCTTTGGTACAAGATTATTTTTAAAGCATTTGAATCAACACTGTTATGAAAAGGTGAACATGTTCTGTCTGTTCGGACAGTTAGTTCAGAACTAGCGAACAGTTACAAGGTAAAGAACTATGGTAACTAGAGGCCGATTCATCAACACAAAACACAGAACAGTAGGGCTTATTGACGACTTCTGACCACCTTTTGATACACAAAAGGTGTGTGTATTGAGGAACAATACAAAAGTCAGCGTGGCCTACCTTAACGGTGACATCTTGGCCCTAGTAAAGTCAACGGGAGTTCTGACAGACTTAAATAGAGCCAGAAGTTCCTATGGTTGCTTTCTTACAACATTACATTTTAAACGTTTGGTTTTTTTTTAAGTAAAAACATATGTATTTTTTTTTTTTTTTTTATTTTTTTTTTTTTTTTTTTTTAAAAAAAAAGGGAAAGAAAAACACAAAAAGAGTACCTACCCTGCAAGTGCAATAAAAACGGTAA